CCCGGCCCGCCACACCCTCGCGGGCCCCGCCGCCCCCGCCGCTCACCATGTTGGTGCCGGTACCGCCGCGGGACGCCGCCAACCGCCGCCTCCACCCGAGAGAACCAGCGTGCGCGGCTCCGCAACCTCTCCACGAGCTCCCAGCGGAAGTGGCGTCAGAGGAGCCGCCGCGGCTTCCGGGGCGCGCAGCCTGCTGGGAGGCGTAGTCCCTCCCCGCGGAGGAGGCGGCGCGGCGGGGTCCGGCGCTGCCCGGTCCCGGTTCCTCAGCGGCTGTGCGGGGCGGGGGAGTGCGTTAGTTGTAATGAGTTCGGCGGCGTGGGGGCCTCTTGGCTGTTCCCCCGCTCTGTGCGATGGCGTCCTCTCGCACGGCAGCGCCTGAGAGCCGCGTCCCGTGGGGCAGTGCCACCCGGCAGCCCTCCCAACAGCCGCCATCTCAGCACTTAGAATGGAATCGTACGAGCGTCTAGGTTGGAAGGGGCATTTTCCAACCATCCACCTAACTCTGCCAAAACCACCACCATGGGGTTGTTGTGACCCAAGTGTGGGACCCGGCCCTCGGCCTTGTTGAACCTCATCCCGTGGACCTTGGCCCATCGATCCAGCCTGTCCACATCCCTCTGTAGAGCCTTCCTGCCCTCAAGCAGGTCAACACTCACACCCAACTTGGTGTCATCTTACTTTCCGTATTTCTATACAAAGTTACTTCTCCCTCAGCAACAGAGCTTTGAGTTTCCTCAGTTTAATTTCATCATATTCCTGGTGGCAAGCTCTCAAACCGATCAAAAGCATTTTAAATTGCCACTCCTGGCCTTCAGTGCTCCTGCCAGGCCATCGCAGATCTCTGTTATTGTTTCATCTGCATCACCAATTAAAGGCCATGAACAGGAGCTACCCCAGCACAATCCCACTCAATACACTTTTCATTTCAATATTAAAAAATTGGTAACTATTCTCTTGTCAGCTTTGCAGATGTGTGATACCACATCCAAGGCTTGTTCCGTTGCTACTTTTCTTCCACACAAAAAGCCTCTTAGTTAGCTTCATAAAAAGAAAAAAAAAAGTTTGTATGGCTTGTTCCTCAAGAATTAATTCCAGCTGGTATTCCCCTTCTTGCTGCCAGATACAAATCTCTCGGGATACATGCAAAGCTGTTTGTTCCTGATTTAAACTGGCCAAAGACAGGTATCCATCCCGATGGAGATGGCAAAAAAGAACACGACTAAAACTCTGCCAACTTTTGCATCTGTCTCTGGTTTTTAATATGGCTTTAATATAGCCAATACCTGGCTAGGATTTTCTGAAGTTCTTTGAGCTTTTTGTTTTCTTCAAAATGTTAGATGTTTCCCCCCCAAACTGTGTTCTAAAATTTGAGTACTAATTGAATTTTAACATCTTTAGTTTTCCTCACAGTTATGTAGAAAAGTATCTTAAGTTTGGGCTAGGGCTAATAAAAAATAGTTAACATTGTTTTAGTTGGGTTATCTCAGATTTGTACTGTACTAATGATTCATTTTAATTAACAATTGCTTCTACTGTGGCGTGAGCAGGGGGGAAAAAAGATTTTAAAAGTGCCTCAGACAATTAACCAAGCTATGACCTTTGAAAGATTAAATGCTCATAGAAAAGCCTACAACACAGAATTTGCAAGTTTGGTTTAAGGCACGTTCGTTTATTGCTAAGCTATGATTTTAATGTGCAAAAGTAGTTACACCAGAACAGGAGGAGCCCAGCAGCCGTGCTAGTTACAGGTTCCTGCCTCTTGCTTCCAGCTGTGCAGTGCCCTCACCTCTGACGCGCTCATGGCATTTTCTTAAGGTCATACCGTAAATAAGGGGGGGGAAAAAAAAGTGCCTCATTTTAATATTTTTTATAAACACATATAATTTGTAAATCACCCCATCTCTTTCAGGATTGAGAAACAGAGTGTGTTTCAGTCCCAAAGACCATTTGACACACCAACAGCTCAGCAAAGCACAGGCTCAGTTGCCCAAGGATGAATTCTCACTCAGACTTCCACGTGTCTCTGTATCTACTGACAGCAATTTAATTCAGCTTGAGACCTCCTGCTTACAGCTACGTTATTTATGATGTAGGAATAACAGAGCAGCAACCATCCCCTGATTTCTCCAGGACCAATAATTCAGGCACTGATCACACTGTCTGAATTGAGGCTTAAATTCAGCCAAAGCAGTCACTTAAGCCCCTGAGCATATACGAATTTGAGGGAGGAAGGAAGGAAAACAGAGACCTTTCACAAAACTCAACTCTTTGGGTGCTCCCAATCAAAATCTAACATACATGTTACTGTGATTGACATTCAGGGATTTTAACAAGGCCAGTTTATATTGTTACTGGAAATCCTAGTACAGCTACAGCTGCAAGGTCAGCTCTTTGATGCTTGGCTCTTCAGTGCCACCTACTTTGAGCTGGCTTCAATTTTTTATTTCAGAACAAAGCAACATTACGTCACGAATGTGAGGCGTATGCATATTTTACTTGGAAGCACTTATGTCAGTTGAGTGGTGTTTAAGTCACAATATTGCTACCAATTAATCCTCTGTCACATCAGAACTGGTGCACTGAAGCATTTCAACCAAACATTACTGGGAAGCTTTCTTTCTATTTGAAATGACAGTACAAAGAACCAAAAGTTTCTACTGAACTCTGTATCATTCAAAGGACCACACTGAGATTGCTGGCCTGTGATTCACCACCCAGTAGTCAACAGCAACAGTACTACCACAACAACAATAACAAATATTAAAGTACATGAGAAAGATGTGACAGAAGACTAGTAGAAAAACTTACAGACTCCAGGTCATCACTGTGTTGGGTTTGTGTTTTTTACCACTAAGTAATGAGTAGTACACAAGGGACCGGAAGGGGGAAATAGGTACCTGAAGCAACAATTTAAAGAAATACAATACAGCGACACTAACACTGGGAAATATTGAAGTAACCCACAGACTATTTTCAATGTAAAATCAATAGTTTATTGCCATGCTACAATTTTTATTTTTTTTTCCAGATGAAGTTGGCACTGGTAAAGGGGAAAAATGTTGTCATAATACATAATACATTTTTTAAAAATGCGCTTTTGATAAGCTTTCTCCATAATGATAGCTTAAAACAAGTGAAATTAGATTTAAGATTAATGTGGAATGGCATAAAAATACACTTTTTCTGCATAGTATAATATCACTTTTCTCATAAAAGAAATATGGAATGTTTGTAAAAACAAGTTCATTGAACAGGGCAAATTAATTGAAATTTTATAAACAATTTGGCAATGGTACTCCCACTGTTTAGACTTTTTTATATAAAAGAAATAAAAATCTAGAAACCTACCTTTATACAAAGTTGCTATATTTATGCCTTTAAGTAGGAAAAAACATTTTATAATGCAAATTAGGACATACAATAATCTTACAATATCATACAATGTAATGACAAGAAAGGAACATACAACATAAGATTTTGGCCTTTGTAGAAATGTCTATTTCTGCATTTAATAAATGCATTTGTGGCACACTGGTGACTATTGTATTTTTACTACTACCAGTCAGCTTTCATGCTAGAGCGGTATTTGGCTGCACTGCAATGGCAGGTCTGCAGTTTAGTTAAAAAAAAAAAAAACAAAACAACACACTGTTTTTCAGGAGACGAAAGGTGACGCTGCAATGAAGCGAGATGTGAAAAAGGCAAGGTGCCTGCTGGTTGAGACATCTGTATCGTGGGACATCATACAACACACTTTTCCTTTCATACCAGAGCATTTCTTATACATTCAGTTATTAAGTACCAAAGTCTTACAAGTGAGAACATCCGTGTTCAAGATTTGGCAAAATTTCAAGGAAAATACAAAGTTAGTACCAAATATATAATATATTATATATAAAATGTGGGTGTATGATATACACACATATTCTAATGCAAAAAAACTGCATTAATATGGAGTTAAATTTGCTGACATCCATTCCTAAATAATATAACCATTAAAAAACAGGTGTAATCCTGATCTTTCACACACTTTAGAATCACTTCCTCTTTCATACATAATAGTTAAAGCAATATATATGCAAGTATGACTAAGAAATCAAAATTCACATAGTAATCTGAACTCTGACCACAGCAAATAGGATTTGTTTTTTCAGTACATGTAATTAAATATATTTATATTTTTACAGTATTTTTAGACCATTCCTGAAGAACTTGACCAACCAGATCCTCAGGTGTAACAGAGCTGTTATGTCAGCAGAACGTGATCTTGCAGGAACACATCCAGTGGCCCTTGGAAGTCAACACGAATCATTCATTTGGCTCCAAAGGACGCTGCATGAGGCCCCAACAAGCTCCAGAAGGATGGCCCTGCTAACAAGGAAGATTCCCTGGTGACATCAAAGCTCTTACCTCAGACCTCCTTTCCTAATGCCAAAGGGAAGGCCTGGAGCCAAGGACAGATGGACTCTGGGCTCTCTGGGTTGTTGGCAGGTGGCGTTGGGAATGACCACGTACAGCCCCAGCACCAGGGAGCGAGTGGCAAGGTGAGCTTCACGGCACCTTTTCTACTAAGGCTTCTCATGGAAAGCAGGGGAGCTGCTCCTCCACGCTCATTGCTTGGCAATTCGGTCACCATGGGGTCTCAGCCATGAGCTGTGGCTGGGACCCCCAAGGCATTAAGTACTTTGCAGACACAGAGGAAGACGGTCCCTGTTCTGAAGGGCTCAAGCCTATTTTTTAGTCATATTTTTTTACATAATCTCCTTTGTATATACACATATTTGCTACATAAAACAGAATTACACCAAAGTAATGGATATAGCAGAAAACATTGACACATATATGCATATTACCACACTAAATAATTACTAAAACTGCAAGAAAAATTTCAAAATGCCCTTTGTAATATATAAAAATATAGAAATGTCCAACACTTGTTTCATCAACTTTAAAGGTAACTTTATCTCTCATAGTCTATTTCCGTCTGTGCACCTACATATTTCCAAACAAAATACTGCGTTAATGTGGAGTAAACACCGTGTTCGGGTAATATCCTCATAAGGCATCTGACAGACTCGGTCACATCCCTTACAGCACAGTATCAGAAGAAATAATGTACACATGGTCAGAGTTGCAGCTGCTAAGTTGATATTTTTTTTTTTTTTTTACTTATTCATGTATCTTGTCGAAAAGAGGAAGCAATTCCTACAGATTGCTAAAGAACCTTAACTCATTACTTCTTGTCTTTTTCATATATGCTCTGTAAGAAGGACATCAGCAACCTTGACTCCATCTTAACGCAGTTTTTTGTAGTGGAATTTCTTCTGGATTTTTTTTTTTTGGAGTGTATATGAATTTAAAATAAAGATATCATAAATGAACTTATGTTTATATTAAGTAAATACTGTCAAATACAAATGCCTGAATTGCTACCTCAAGGAAAAGATGGGAAAGATCTTATAATAAAATTCCAAAAAATACCTAATGCTATCTATCAAACTGAGGAACCAAACTTCTTTAGGGGAAATAGGAGAATTTCAAAGATTTAAGTCCACTATTAGCTCCTGCTAAATCAGTTTCATCTTATTTGCATCCATTAAATAAATTAGTACAGTGCAGAAATGGAATTTCACCATTGATCCCACCTTACACGAAGAGGAGAATACTGCTTAGAAATAGAGGTCCAAATCAGATACATCATTATATGTTCAAAGTAGTAACTGATATTAATCAGAACTTGCATTTTTACTTCACCAACAGTGAAAAAAAGACATTCTGCTCTCGCCTGACTCTGTTTCATTAAGAAGTGGTTAAATATAAAATAAAACCAAGGATAGCCAGATTTTGAGCCAATACATGCTGTTATAAAACCAGTAAAATCAACTGCTGGTCTGTGACTGGTGAAAGAGTGGCCCTGTTTTCACACCGATTTGGACTTTGTACAGCTGACAACTTTCTTTTGACACCCAAGCCCTAGTCAGAGCTGTAAACAGGCACACAAATATCCAAACATGGGCATGGGGAGAATTAAGCAGTTTATGGTATGAAATGTCTATTTGAACATTTAAGATTCTTATAAAAGTTCTGTAGACTTTAATAGGAACAGAATCGTGCTTCAACACACCCCATCACATTCAACCCCCGTCATATGCAAAATGTACTTATAAGGGGAAACAAAAAAATGTTCTAATGAGAGTTAAGATTTTCAGAACAGGCTTTCTCATGTTGTACGGAGTCACCAAGAAATACCACAAAACTAAAAAAAAAAATAAATGGTCTTCCCCTTGACATCAATTTGAGAAAAAAAAAAATCCTGGTATAACCAACAGATTAAATCCTTGCTAACTGTACTTCTAGTACAATTTTTATTATGTACTTTTGGTCGCTGTTTCATCTGTTTTATCAACACAGTTTCCTTATTTAAAGGATACATTAGTGTATGTTTTTCCCTAATCATTGCATTAAAGGAATACCTACAGTTAAAGGCTTTCCCTTGTCAAATTGGCTTGAAGGGTAGCAGTCAACTGCATGTTATGGATGAAAAGTAGAACCGATGGAGATGCTGCCATTTTTGCAGGACCTATTTTCCATAAACTTAACATGTCTCCATTACTAAAGAAAATGGTTACATATTTGTAGTTTCTCAGTCTATACACCCGTGGGCCCAAAATAAATATGATCTAAATACTGTGGAGAGACTGCAACTGAAAACTGAATCCTAGATTACAGACACTAAACCTAACATCACAGTCTTTAAAGAGACTGAATTGAAAAAAAAATATTTACGAAGTCTCAAGGGTAAAGTGCATTGCAACTACGTCTACTTCAAAGGGCAGAAAATAAGGAATGCTAAAGATGAGTAGCACGGGTAACAGGGGCTACCCAGTATGTTTGCAGCGTACATGAAACGACAAAGCATTATCCCACCTGTAAAATATAACAGGGTAAAAAAATAGTCCTGGATAATATATTGTCAGACTTGTTAATATAATTAGGACTACAGAAAGTTGAAATTTCAGTATGTTCTCAATTCTGGGGACCAGAGCTATGAAGTATTGTGAAGCTTGTAACAACATTTAAAAAAAGTTACTCAGACCATCCCTTGTATCTGAGACTATTCAGGATAAACGCATAGGACAGTGCACCGGAACTAAGGAGGGATAGGGTTGGTTATTGTAATTTCAGCAGGTCACTTGGGATCTACCTGAAGCCTTTGTTCCCCTATTTGTCAATTAAGACTATTACTTGCCGGCCTCATAAGGTATGCTTTAAGGGTTCCATTCATTAGTATTTCTGAAAGACCCATGCTATACAGATGAGGACCAAATATTTCTAGGCAGCCAGCTAGATCAAACACATTTGCCTCAAAACACATGCTGAAGCTTTAGTTCGGCTCACAAATTTAAGTGAGCTACAAGCCAAGAACAAGAATCGCACTGGTATCATTAACCCAATAAGTATTTCACAATACCTGGTAATTTCTCTTCAGCACAGACCAAGACTGTCCATAGCATAAGGTGAGGCAATGGCAAAGATGTGCCAAATTAACACTGCAGACCTGTAAAATGTCTAGCTCTAGGTAGTCATTACCTTCTAAGTACCAAGGTCTCCCCACAAGTCAACGAGTCTATCACAAGAGTATGCATAGGTTGACTGTGAAATCATTAATGAGCTTTTTTTTTTTTAAATCTCTTTTAAGTTCCTCCTAATGGTCTCAAGGACTCCCATCTTTTACTTCTGCAAATTACGTTCTTTGTGCATCTGGTATTTCAGTACAATACAGTCTGTAAAGAAGCATTAGAGAGTGAAAAGGTTGCCTGATATCCCTTAATGGTGTGGCAAGACACACGTATGTCAGGTGCTTCTACTGCTGCCACTACTAAACTGAGAGAAGACCAAAGAAAAAGTTAACAAAGGAACAGGAATACACTCCAATGTAACTGAAAATACATGTAGTTTGTTTTTTATAAAACTTCAATTCAAATATTGCATGAAGATCATGAATTCTTTTTCAGATCTCCAAATGGCTTTTCTTGTATGTTTTTCCTCACTCACAGTTCAAGGGTTATTTTACATCACACCAGTTCACACAAGAGTAAGTTCATTTGCTATCACAGGCTCAAGAGTAATCTCTTCTGCTGCTAGTACCAAGGTGCACCTGCAATACTGCCAGAATTCTAAAATTATTCAGAGTATTAAAAACAAAACAAAACCCCAAAACTTCTGCTAAGGGTGCATCTGGCATATTCAACAAATAACATTCTACCTGGATGTACCTGTAACACTGAGCAGCCATCATTGTAACCAAGTTCACCGACTGCAAAAGGAAAAGAAGTACGCTCGTAGATAATACTACTGTCAGATAATTTACTACATCTCTTTCTAAATTAAAGTATACTATCAACTATGGATGCACATTGCTAGAATTTGCAATTTTCTATAAAGAACTAAGTCCGTCCAGTACCCTGCCTCCCGTGTAACCTGTGTCTGATGCTTTATAGGAAGACTATAACTGCATAATAAACCTTTCCAGTTGTGCAATAACGCATGCTGCTGGAGAGCTGGGATATTTCTGTCAGGCATTAAAAAAGTAGAACACTGGACAAAGACAACCATTTGACCTTCAAGAGATTTTCTTTGTCAAATGTAGAGAGTAAGACAAACACATAAATGAACCTGAACAATAATTAAAGCTATGGTACAAAATTTTGACTTTTAAAACAAGACATTGTGGAACAGATAAAGAAACAGACAAATGTAAAGAAAGGAAGGCACATTGAACTAAGAAATGACAAGAGAACCTTAATTCATACAGCCAACCTGTGAATTCCTTCACAAAAAAAAAAAAACAAACCAGAACTCCACTGAGATTAAAATTCTGTCCAATTTCACAGGAAATTTGATACATCACTCAATTCTCTTCCAGCAGAAGGAGCTTAAGGCTGGGTTTAGATGCGTTTATAGCTCTGATCAATGAACTTCGACATGACCTCCCAATATCACAAGTTAAGAAAATTACTGGGAATTAGAGGCTTTCTTGCACATGTGGTCTTAAAAAAAAAAACCACAACCAAAAAACAGACAAAAAAGGCGTGGTGTTTATATCCCTTGAGATGAACCAATATATCTTGTGTATGTCAAACTGAGTGAATTAATGCATTACATACGTTTCATTCTGGAGGAGCCACTTTAACAAGGAATGAACGTAAGATATGTATCTTGAAAGATTAGGTTTACCTGCTAATAATGCACATATCAAGAGGCTTTAAAAAGTGTTATAAATGCCATTAACAAGTATAGGCACCAGACCAGAATATTTATAAATTCAAAACTGGCATGTCACTCAGACTCTAATCAATTTAAAGAGGCACTGTGAAAGGTGGTGATGCTGCTATGCAGTAATTACTACTACTGTAGAATGCAATAGTGTTACCTAAATGAATACTTGCTCTACATTAATTCCCTTTAGTTAGACAAGTACATGAAGTATGCAGAAAAAAGTTCTATTAGTCTATAAAAGGCGTTAGTGTTAAGAAATGCAAAGTACTTGCATCTTCAATTTTATAAACTTCACAAAAGGTGCAAATGATTTAATGCTTCCCAGGCTCACATAGGCAGGTCAGTACTATTATGTCTAGTTTTCCTAGAAGTACCATCATCTCGGGGCAGTGCTTTTTGCAAGCTTGACATAGCAGCAGTTCTTTCAATGTCTATCACAGCATACAGCTCTGTGCGCCTGGTTGGAGTTTGCGGAAGTGGAGTGGTGGGGGTTTTTGGAGTCTGAGGGTTGTCGGAGTCACTACCACCTTCCAAGTCAACCTGTATATAGTTGAGCTGCCTGTGTTCTAAACTCGGACGCCTAATGTCAAAGTTAAAGACTGTTGGGGTACAGTCCCGACGTCGTGTAAATTCTACTTTATGAGCACTTGCTGGTACTGTTACATTCTCTGTATTGACATAATTATGCATTGGATCTAGGTTATTGTGGTAGCCATTCAGAGATGGGGTCTTTGGTCCTAAACTTTCATCTTCATCTCTACTCAGCTTGCGGGCTTCCCAAACAGGAGGCAAGGATGGCAAGTTCTCATAGTTCAACAGCGCAGTTCTCCTCTGAGCAGAGTTGTTAATGTTCTGGGTGTCTGAGGTGCTGGTTGATGTCAAACGACCTCTCCTGACCCCTGAGGCACTAGGGATTGATAACCTATTTATATTTTCATACACAAATTTATTACCAGATGGTGTTTCTCTGCGTTCATCACTGTCGTACCCAGTGTCCCATTCAGTGTTGTTTGTGCTGCTGCCGCTAACTTGGTCTCTCCCAAGTTGCTCCAGTTTCTCTCTTTCCATTAACTGCCTTTGAACAGGTGTTGGTCCTAAAACAAACTTAACTCCCTCAGGCTCCAGGAGAACCTGAGCATCTCTGTCATCAGTACACGTCTGATCTTCTTTCACTTTAGTTGTTTCAGTGTTTGAAAGTTTTGATTCCAATGGCGCATGCACACTTGATCGATTTTTTCTTTCCTCTTGTACCCCAGTAGTGTTGACGTAAGTGTGCACCTAAAAGGGGAAGAAAAAAAAGGAAATTCAAATGTTATTTGTGCCTTTTTTCCCCCCTTCGAATTTCTTTCCATCTTAATGCCCCGCTTTTCTAATCAAAATACCTGAAAATCAAATCTTGTGGTAGCAGCTGTTTAAGAGCAAAGGTTATCTCTCACATTTTGCTGAACTGTGCTCAGTTTTGAGTTTTTTACCTGAAATTTTGTTGTTGATTTTGTAAATATTACTCTAACAAAAGAACAGAATTTGCATCCTATGTTAAAAATTATTTTGATTTGATGTTTTATCTCAGTTGTGCTCTAGTTACAGCTTTTCAGGTTCTATTCCAGCCCTGCTCTGGTCAGAGCAACCTCGGGCTGCTCCAACTTAGCTCATTAGTCCACTTGGACAAACCAGTGAAGCAGAGCTCAGCTTTGTTGCCCCTTACCATGACAGTGACCAACAGTTCAATAGTTGCTTCAGCTAAATATATCTTTGCAATTTCCACACTGCAAAGGAAATCTGTACATTTAAAAACAAACAAAACCAACTCAAGACCTAAAAAACCCCCACGATCTCACCTTGTGTACGGCTTAAGCAATGAGAAGAGAGGTTGACTGTACTGAAGAACAGTCCATTCTTTCTCCAAGAGCCAACAGCCTCCTAATACCAGAAACTGAAGTAGGAAAATATACAATTCCATACAAACTGTGGCACTCAGAATTAAAGAGAAGCAGGAGGTGGCACCAGGTGCCACTAAAGAAGGCAGGAACATACCACAAGTTTATCCCTCCCAGCCCCCACAGTGGATCAACACAAGGCTGAGTGGGAAAGACTGGAGTAATTAATTGCTTCTCTAAATTTTAATTCTGTCTGGATTCCCAAACAGCAAAAGTAGTATTTTACAGCAGCAGGCCATCTAGCCTTCTCAACTTCTCTGTCAGGCTCTACACGCTGAAGTGTTATTTACAGACCACTTGACTCCTACAATGATTCTTTAAACTCATTTACTCTTCAATAACTCCAACAATAACACTTGGACTCTTCTTTGGGGGCTCCTAACAAATCCTTTCCCACAAGACAGTTCACTGAGCTCTGCTCTGGTTATCATTTCTGGTTTCCAACGGTGTTTCTTGTCACACATGGGAGTCTTCCTAAACCACATTAGATTTTATTAAACTTGACTAACATTTTCATCAGCAACCTGAATGATGAGACCGAACACACCCTCTGAAAGTTTTCAGTCTGTCCCAGGTTGGTAGGGTTTCCACTGAGAGGGATCTCAGCAGCCTGGAGAATTGACCTCACAGAAACCTTACCAAGTTCAGCAACAGCAAATGCAAAGTCTAGTGCCTGTTGTGGAACACCACCAACAGTACGGGCATCAACTGACTTGAAAACAGCCTTGCAGAAAAACACCAGGGATCCAGGTGAATGGTAAGTTGAATGTAAGTCAGCAGTGTGCCCCTTACAGCAATCAAAACCCAACGTGCACTGGTTTGTGTGAGCAAAAGCACAGCCAGTAAGTTAAGGAAAGTGTTTATCACCATCAATTCAGCACTTGTGAGACTGCATCTGCGCTCTCCAAAACAAGGCAGACATCACCGCGCTGGAGTAAGTCCAGTAGAGGGCGATGAGTAGAGGGGCTGAAGCATGTGGCACACAAGAAGCTGAGAGCCCTATCCTTGTTCAGTCTCGAGATAAGGCCAGAAAACCACCTAATAGCTGCTTTCAACTACCTAATAGATAAAGAAAAGATAGAACTAGACCTTTTTTGGAGATACTCAGCAAAAGGCTAAGGGGAGGAGCAACAGACACCAGCTGTAACAGGAAAAAAAATCCAATTACCTATTAGAGAGAAATGCTTTCACCACAAAGGTGGTGAAACAGTGGAACACATGGCACAGAGACACTGTGGAATCCCCTTGTTTGGAGTATTCACAGCATGAAAGGACAAGGCTCTGCAGTCACCTCTAACTGTGAAATTTGACCTAGAGGACTCTAGAGGTCCCTTCTAACCTAGATTATTCTATGATTTCTATTTACCAAATAGAAGATTTACACGTAAAGAAGCTTTTTGACCAGGATCTCATTATAAAGTACAATTTACATGTTTAAAAATAATTACTGAAATTTTTGAAAAGAGTATATGCAAATACATACTTTCTATATCTTTATTTGTATATAAATATGAAAAGCAACTTAAAATAGTTACTTTTGCCCAGCAAGCTATCCTAGAGAGTACCATTTTAAAGAGACAAAGCAAAAACCTTTCTGAGGTGGTTAACATATAGTAGAAATACATTACACCTGATACTGAAAAACACAAATGAAAACTTATAGAACAAGCATCAGAAAAATCTGAACTAATGTAGAACCTAAGTTATATGAGGGGAAAAAAAAAATACCCACTTGCTCCTCTGGTACAAGTAAAGGATGTGTTGATTCTTCACCGACAGAGGGGAGGCGTGCACTTCCGACAGATGGATGTCTGCTGGAAGGATGTGATGAAGCATCTCCAAAAGATGGATATCTGGGATAGCCATTGGGTAAACTTTGTGCATTGAACCCAGGAGCTGATTCAATTAGAAAACAAGCAAAACCATATTAAAATAGAACATTTTACTGTATATGAGTAAGATGCTTTATATCTTAATTTTCAATTTTCAAAAGAGAAATTACAATATGTAAAACAGTATTAAATATTCACAAGATTCAATTTTGCTAGGGGGAAGGAAAGGGAAAGCAAATTGCAGACTATAACATCCCAGTATTTACTGGGAAACAAGTCTGAAGCAACCACTGAAATGTAGGTGTATTACACACCACAGTCCTCCCAATAAACTCCCTATCCAACTTTTCTTTCTACCATTAACAACATGTCTCCCTACACTTCTCTGAAATCATGAATGACCTGGAATTCCTAGTTTCATCTATGAAGCCCTCTGCCTGAGATTACCTAAAATCCTCCATTATTTTTGAAAGGACTTCACTCTACCCATCCACCTACTCACAGTAATAGAAAGGTTCCAAACTCACTGTGGATGTGATATTATCATTACTTTTCCCCTCCCTTAAAAAGGCTGGAACATTTCCCAACATTAACATTTCTCAGAAATGCTAGAAGTAAAACACGATGATATCGTAATAAAGCAATTCAATAGTTGTATTCATAAGTGTTCATAAGAACACTGCTTCACTGAAACACTTTTCTTGTGCAACAACTAAGTTCCCAGAACTCATTTCTTAAAGCTGAAGAACTTGACTATGGCAGTTTTGCTCCCAAGACTTAAGATTCTTAAAAAAGAATCCTTAGCAAGTACCTCAAGAGAATGCATTACTGTAATTAGCCTCTTAGCTTTAAATTAGTTTTCTTTTTAATTACCTAAAGATTTAATGCAAATTAAGTGCTATTTTCAGCTAAGTACTACATTGCATTCAGGTATGTCACCTAACAGTATAACCATTACTTACTGGTAGGTGTTCGAGGGGTTCTTGGAGCTTCCAACTCAGTTTGATGATTATTCCTTTCTACTACTGGTTCTTCTACCACATTTATGCTATTATTCTGCATTATCTCTTGCAACATATTAAATAGCTCTTCTGCACGGGCACATTTAAAGGCAAAGATTCCTATAAATACACAAGAAAAAAATCAAAATCCTTTAATATAAGAAACATGCCTTACAATATATATAACGTTCAAAAATAGAACTGGAATCCATGTAATGAATACCTGTTAGAGAAGCAAAAACGTTAAGAAATTTTTATTGCACCATAACACAAAAAATTACTGTGAGAACCTTTAAAGTCTTTATCTAATAGAACAATAAGATTCCCATGCACCAAAAGTTAAATTAGAACAGAAAATTGGTTCAGTTAAGAGCAAAACTAAGTTTTGAGTACTAAATAAGGGGTAAAAAAACCAACAAACCAAAACCAAACCAAAAACAGGGCAAGATTTTTTTTTTTTTTTAAGCTGATAAAAAGGACATCTTTTAAATAAATAAATTTTAAAAAACCACTAAATGAAACTACTGTGGTGCTACAAGGTCATATTTTTTTTAAAACAGACTTCTATTAAATTACCAGAAAAATAAGGTACCTGCACAACAAGAAAGAAGGATTTAAACACTGGGTAAAAGTTTAGTTTCTTTAAGAAGATTAAAATGAAAAGCTAGTAAGACAAACTGTGTGAAACAGACAGTAACGAACCACTTGCTTTAGGCTAAAGGGTAGACACAGAACACAAAGTTAGCAGCAATACCATGTATTTTGCGTGTGTATTGTGCCACTTTGCCTTTAAACAGCAGGGAGCGCCCCAACTTACCCTCACCAGCAAAGTCGCAGCTTTGGATTATTCTTCCATTGAAAGCATGAAGTTAAAGTTGACATGCTTGTTAAACGTGGGTGCAGGTGCTCATTTTTTCAAGTGAGTATTACAGTCTTAAAACACTCTTTACTAAAAACTACCTACCTATATAGCTAGTTCTGTAAGTGCAATTATGTTAATATGCTGGCAATTACGATCATCATATATGTATTGAAGGACGCGGAACTGTGACAGATCAGAACTACCCAAAATGCTCCACATGGCAGAAGTTCACAGAAACCCAGCTGGGAATACACCAAATGAGCTAAGAGGAAAGACGCTCAACAATTAATATTCAGCTGGTGCAGTGAATCAGCTTCATGCTTGCAACACAACAGCTGTCCAGCTGCTTCTGCTACTTTTCCCCAACCCACGATCCAGCTCAAGTACGACAGTCCATGTTTAATTTTTCATGTATTTCTGAAAATTCACACTGGATACTTAAATCTTAATGGACAAAAAATAAAATTAGAAAAAAATCTAGGTTCACAAGCTTTAAAAAGCTCCCAGTATTTTTCAGAGAAATTCAGCTTTTTCCCCTTTGTTTAAAAAAAGTGCTTCCAATTGCTGACTCCTTAAAAGATGAAATGAATTAAACTGGCACTGAAACCACAAGCAAAAAGAACTTGATGAGACCTTGATTTTTGTCAAATACACATTAAATACAATGTGATCTGTCATTTACACGATACGGTGACATGCCAGCTCCTTCAGCTTTTCTATCCTGAATTATCTATTAGCTTTGCTCTCAAAGCACGTCTTCAGGTTTTTTAAAACCTAGCACAAACTCAATGTTTCGCCATCAGCGCATTCTGACAACTTATCAACAGATGTAATTTGAGATTACACAGGAAACAAACGAGAATACTGCCTAATGTAATCAGTAAAAGTTGCTGGGCAGTATTCAGGGTATTCTCAAATGAAAAACTTCTCAGTCATCTTGCCAAGTGAAGATGAAGTTTTGCAACCGTGCCCACAAATGCCAGTGTAGGTCTCAGGAACAATGCTCCATTGCAAAATGGCAGCAGAGAGAACATATTCTGCCAGATTTCTTTTTTCCTTAATATTTGCAGTATTTTAGTATTACGTAAGGAAGGCAAGAAACAAAAGAGGGAGGAAAGGGTTGCTGCTCACACAGCCTGCTTAATCTTCTCCATTTAAAAAAAAATAAAAAGACATTAGGAGGGAAACAGAGAAGTCAATTAGATTCGGTGGACAATTCTGCAGACTTGCTAACTGGCCATGGAAAAGAACCTTCAAAATAGTATTTTCAATTTAATTTTATTAGTATCTCTTTTACATGTTTAAAAGAAGCAGTGAATTAAACCTGCAAAATCAATTAAAGTGATTTTCTTCAAAACAAACTTTATTTCCTTCTTCTCAGATGTCTGAAAATTTCATTTAGTATGAAATATACTGTGACATTTGAAAACATCCCTATTTCTCGTTAGGAGATGAGCTGAGAATGCCTTCTAAACTTCTACCAAAAATACCTGTCTGTCCTTACCTCTCCTTGGACAATGAAGATTGACCAGCTTTGTTCACGATCAAGTTCTTTCATCTTTCAAGTGCTAAATAACGCTTTTTATATTAAACACTAGTGAATGCTAAAAATCTATTAAGAAAAATAAAAATGCAACTTGATTCCACAACATGTGACTACATAAGAATTCCAACTACACACAGCTACATCACAGCAGAAAGATGCAAAACGAGGCCAAAACCTCAAACAAAACGGCTATTCCCCCACGAACTACTGCAGTGACAAGAGAGAGAAAAGCTCCAACCTTCTCGCTGCAAGCCAACCTTGGCCAAGGCAGGCATGATCTGGGATCTGAAAAGGTAACCAAGTTTTTCCAATTAAAGCCATACAGAAAATAACTGAGCATAGCTGGCGTTTAGACACTTCATGCAAAAATGTGTCAAAATTTGAGAATGATGTCGTTGATATAAATGAAAGTGGTATTTGTTTTAGGAAAAGGATGAAACACAAGTGTGTTACTGAAGACGATAACAGGGTAGGAATATCCAGTTCATACCAGTGCTCCAGTCTTTTAAAAAAATCTAAAAATAGAGAATTCTTTGAATTCTGAGAAGGTTCCTCCACAGTTCCAGGTTTTACTGCCCCTCCCTGAAAGTCAAGTCAACCTCCGAGGCAGGAAAATTTCCCCGTCAAAACCACCTCCTACGTTGACCAGAAGTATCCACACATACAAGCATGAACTGCTCCAGACCTACAATCCCAAAAACTATGTGCAACTCAAATCCTCATTTTGCCATAACACCGTTCCTTATAAGGTAACCTAATTTTTTTTCCAGAAACCACATTCACTTATAAAACTATAGCCTTTACAACCCTTGCCAAAGGACGGGCAACTATACCTTTTTTTTTTTAACAAAAATTGTCTTCCAACATCAAATAAGTTTCCACAAAGTTTTATATACAAAAATTCCACATACCTTGTCCAGTTTGACACCTTCGGCCGCTTTCAAAAGAGAAGAGATTCGAGTCATAGCCATAGCGACGGAGACAGAGGTAGTGCCATTTTACAGAGTCCCTTTTACGGGTGTACAAAATTAGTTCTGTATCTGTAAGTTCCATTATGCCAGAACCCAGTTCATTACCATCATCATCCACGTTAATAACCTATAAAAAGGAAGTGAAATAGCATTAGGTAAGTACTCTTTTGAGCACCAATACCACTACTAATAATCTTAATGTTTCACTTATGTGCTCCATCTGCTCTGACATACGAGTTATGATCCTTAAAGTAAAGGTTTAAAAAAATAAAAATTCACCAAACCACTTCCTTTGCTCCCCTAATCCAGAATTAAAATAATACATATTTAAAATCAATATGAGCGAGCCTGCATAACATTATTGTAAAATCTGAAGAGAAATTTAAAAATAGAAGAGAGTCGTAAGTTTAATTTTAGTTTTTCTAAAACTGGCTTTTTGTACATATTCCAGTATTGCCACACAGATAAGGCATACCTCAGATAATGGAATCTTTCAGAACCCCATTTCTAAAAAAAAAAAAATAATATTTGCTTTGTCATCTAACTCCTCTTACAGTTGGGAAAAGGAATGAAAAAGGATAAGGGGCTCCAAGATAAAGCTTCCTTCACATACCTGTATAGCCTTGCACTGTGCTGAATCACCAGACTGTTTTAGATTTTTTTTCTGCCTTTTTAAAGCCAACAAATAATTCAAATACCCTATGGTTATCTTGCATGAAAACATGTGTATAAAGCTTAAACTATTTGCCTTTCTGCTTTTAAACCAGTTGGAGGTCATCTGCATCGTTTATGGAATTCAGACAATGTATATTTGCCTCCACACATATTTCACCTCTTTTAGCGGAATTCTTTCTTACTCAATAAAAAGGCTACCAAAAAAATTTTCCCTATGGTATCAATTAATGTTACTCCTTAAAGAGGCATTTTCAACTCGAAATCTAGTCAATTGAAAAGAATTAGGAATAGTTTCATCTGCCACTGAGGCTTATGCCAACTTTCTTCATTTTGCAAATTACATTCTTTCATCTTCTCTCCCCTGCTGCTAAATCAGCAACCCACATAAACAATAGAGAAATTACACAGTGAGAAAAATAGGAACTAGTTACACAAAGTGATGTCAAATTCATAAAAAGTAAGAAAACAAAAATATGTTATCCTTCAGCTTTTTGTACTGATAATATTAAACATTTCCAGAAATTCCCATGGCTTTAAAGCTCATTTCAGTGTTGCCCTAAGGCAATGCATGAATCATTTTTCACTATGGAAGCACTACATTCCTTTGCCAACTCACAGAGACAGTTTGGAGCGCAGAAGCAAATCTGACTTGTGTGACTATGCAAAGGTATGTTTACTTAAAGTCACTGACTTCAGCAGCTTCGTGTTAAGCATGTTAAGCACATGAACAAGTGTTCACAAGCTTAGAAATTCCAGGCATATAAGGGACAGAAGCACGTTTATAAATAAAATTTCTTCAAGTAAAGGACAAAAGTTCTCAAAAGGCTATAGTCAGCAGTGATCTTCAAGTAAAAGCTTCCATTGCTGACCCCACATCCAGGTTCATAATCACACTTCTCCAGTAGCTCTTCCAAGAGCTGCTTCTAGCAAGAAAAACCTATAGACACAAATACCTGCAACTCTGCCACATTTTAACTGTTCAGTAATTCACACCCTATTCTCATATAAATTTTTTTCTATCACAGACCTGGTCTGCAAGAAGGCAACAAAATAATTCACGGCATACCACGTCAGTTGCTTACCTTAAACTTGTTTCGATGGTTATCTGGGACAGTTTCTTTATCTGGACAGCTACAACAGCTACCCATGACTTCTTTAGAGGACCATGTGATCTCTAAAGGGGAAAAAAAACACCAACAAAATGATCCTTTAGCTGAAGTAAAAATAATCATCAACAAAACAATCCAACACAAATCACTCCCTGAAATTACAATTCTTCATGATAAATTTTGCAGTCGTAAGTAATAAAAAAATCAACATAAATAATACAAATATTTTTAAATATTTAAGTTAAGTGAAATTAAATTTGGCATTAAGGACTGGCAACACCAAGCTCTTAAAGCCCTACCAATAATTCAACTTGAGGTTACTACCAAACAGACCCATTTGATTTGTCACCCATGGTAGCAGCTTGGAGGAAAACAAAACCCAACAACTTACTGGGTGCGATTCTCATGTCCTAAACCAGGGCCCTTTACACAAGGCAACGACCTGGATTCCAGCTCCGACTAAATGAGCACTCCCCGGCTCAGGCTGCTGAGCACAGCCCTAGTGACGCCCATACAAGCCCTGGGCTGTAGGAGGTTACCAGGCACAGGCAACACAAAGAGTCCGCATGGCGTTGAGCCTGAAAGGCTGCCCTGGCTTGGCCAGCTCCAGGGCTGGCTGGCAACCCAGAGTGGAGGTGTTCCAGGCCCGCAGGCAGTGCTGGCAGCCATACGGCGAGGCTCTCTCTGTGCTTCCACTTTTGAATGCTTCCCATATAGCAATGTGCATAAAACTATGCAATCGGAGTCAAGGGAAGGAAAAAAATCCCACATTCAACAGTAATATTTTAAAATGTGGGGTTTTTTATTTCTGTTAAGTTCCATTTGGATTAAATTGTGTCACACAGTCCACTTCATTTGCTATAAAACAGTAAAATATTCAACTAACACAAAACAGCATGGCTAAATTAAGGAACCCAAAAATAAATATTTGATCTTCTGATGTTTTCATTTACAGAGTTTTGGATGTATGGTAAAACTCCCTTAAAATAGTATGATAAAACATTCATAGAACTAAGTCTCAAAACTTGCTTCTCCTCCCTCTAACACCTTGCAGAGGGTCATAAGTCTTGTGTTTCTTAAATACAAGGAAGTCAGACAAAAGAAATCTTAACCCATTTACATCATTTTTATATTGGGTAAGAATTAAAATTTCCACTACACAGATGAGAAGGTAGCCAAAATCCTGGAAGAGAGCTAGTATGGCAACAAGAGATATGATATTAGGAATCACGAAGAAGGAAGACAAAACTGGTTGACAACTTTTCCTGACTAAAGAGGAAAAAAATATTAAGAAAACCAAGACTTGCTTTCTAGACAGGCATTTGTACTAGCTTGCAGCAGTAGTATCCAAGTAGTCTGCTGAATAATAAGGTACAAGGAATACAATGATGACCAGCTAGCTCTTTTCCTCTTGAGCAGAAAAGCACTCAAAAGAGATACTGCCACCCTACAGACTGTATAAATCTGCCTCTCAGTTACACGCTAATTTTAATAGTCTTCACACATGCATTCCACTGTTATTTAAACTATTCCATCTTTTTTTGCTTATGAATTTTGCCAGTTTTGTTTAGAAAGGGAGATACAGGTAATAACACCTATTACTAATTTCCCATCCTAGCACCCCACAATGCCTCACTACAGTAATGTTCAGATGTTGGTCTTGTTAGCCTAATGATGCTACCCGACTTATTCTGAGAATCCACTGCTAAAAAGAGCAATAGGTAACAACAGCTGCAATGCAGATTAACAAGGAATATATACATTTCCAGCAAAAGTTTTCAAGTTCTGCAGCCTGCAGGCACCAATGGTTTGCACTTAATAAAGCCCAGTTGTAGATCTTCCCAAATGTTTTGACAAAGTGGAAACAGAACTAGGTAGCAGCATGGTATTAGTATTATGTATTATAATTAGTATTATGACCTTCTTTGTATTCAGCATAAAATAACTGATCAAATCTGTTGGAGGCAAGTGCCTGCAAACTTAAAAAAACAATAAAAAAAAACTTAACTGCAAAGTAGTTTGTGAAAAATGACTAGAGTTGCAAGTAGAAAGCTGTAGTTTACGAAGATGTTTAAGTATAGCCATTGTATCTCAAGAATGACAAAGAAAGGGTATATATAATCATACAAGCTTGTTATTTTGTCTCCAATATATTGTAATATTAATACTTCAGAAAACTAAGAAGTGCAATGCTGCTTCAAAGGAGAGATGTGAACCAAGACTAGAGAAAAAATGAAACAGATAGGGAACTGGCAGAATTAAAATCACTCACCTAGATTTGGCCATTAATATTCCCAGCCTCTTCTGCAGCATCAGGGCTTCTGTCATACTCAAAGCGTCATGCTGTCTTCTCACAGAACTAATCATTTGACCTAGAACTAGAAGAGCACATAAAAACATGATTTTTCTTGTTTTTAAGATGCCAGTTAGTAAACAAAAATACGTTTTTGTTTTTGGCGTTTATATTTATTTATTTATTATTTTGGCAGTATTATGTCAAGCGAGGTTGTTCATGGCTAGAATGTTTTAGATAAGAGACTGATCTCTTAGAGCTTCCCCATCATTTCAGTGCCTAGATGGGTCTTGGAAGAAAATAATCTGGTGTCCCTTTCTGCCATGTAGCCTGTCACACTGGGGACTCCACTCATTCTCTACTCACTCCTTACCCAATATAGCGTGTGGAAATAAGAGACATGAAGCTCCCCTTATCCTTAGCACATCCTGAACCAAATCACAGCACACAAGCAGAACACATAAAATTTACTCTGCTTAGCTCACTCCTGCTTATCCTACTGAACATATACAAATGCTGACTTGCATGGCTAACACATCGCCCTTTCTCTGCTTCCCTCATGATTCTTGCTCCATGACATTAACCATAAATTGCTTGTTTTCATTTCCCTCGCCCCCTGGATTACTCTCATACTAACTATCCACTCACATTTAACACCAAAAACTTAACTGCTGCTTCCATCAGGCCAACATTTGGCAGCCTCCATTCTCCGTTTGTAAAATTGCCAAGCCAGCACTTGATGTCTCCTTTGACGCTGCTTCTTAAACTTGAGAGAAGGGCTAAATTCTCAGAAAAATACTTTATTATTAGCCTTTCTTATCAGCCTTTTGGAATGTCTATGCAAACTTAATTGAGACCACTGTAGCTCTGCCTGTCAATACTGTCACAATTCTCTGTATTCATCTGCTGTCCTCTGCCTTATGTGTGGATTAAAAGCATTTTGGGAACCAAAAGCACTCTTTTCGCATAGTATCAAGTGTAACATAGTCCCAAACTCATCCCAGGTTCTAGGCATCATAACAGTTGCAGAACACTCTTACACGGAGGGACTGTGCAATAGTACAGCAGAAATTCAATACTGGTAAATGCAAAATAACGCACTTAGCGAAAGAGCTCTATCTGTTAGGAAAGATCAGTCACGTAGTCATGCAGTTCAATGAAAACACTAGCTCAATAGCTATCATAAAGCAAATGAATCAGAACTCTTTGGAAAGATCTAAGAGCCAAAACGAAAACACAATCCTATTGTATGAATCCATAGTGCGCCTACAGATGTAGTAAGGTATGCAATCGTGCCTCCCCCTGTCAAAAAAAGAGTAAAACCAGAAGTATGCTACTTTGTCCACTCCGCCCAAAAAAAAGGGACCACACAGGACAGAAAAGATGAGTACAGAATTACAGGTGACATGGAGAAGATAAATAAAGCACAACTGTTTGCCAAGTGCAAGCATTAGGGAGCAGCAGTTGACACTATTAAGGGGCAGGTTCAAAAGAACTACACAGAAGTACTTTTTGCACACAGTATGAAGTTAAACTTTGTGATCTACAATGTTTTGAATAACTTCTAAAAATTTAAAGATTCAGGAAGCAATTGGACAAATGCAAGCTCCTTGAATTTTTAAATTCAAGGATGTCACATCTGGCTCAAGAAGTCCCCAAGCTGCAGCTATTCAGAAGGGTCTTAGAGAATGACCACAAAATGCTCCTTCTTACTATTCATTTCCCCATAGATTTACTATTGGCTGTCAGAATTTACTGTTCACTGTCAGAAACAGGAGACTGTACAAACCAATACTTGAAGCCTGACCCAATAAAGCCATTCTGGTTAACATAAGAGGATGACATGGTCTCTGCATAAATTTTTGAGTGCACTGTCATAAGACATTGAAAAAAAAAAAAGAAATAATTAAAAACTTGTATTTAACTTCAGACTAAAACCTAGATTTCACAAAGGTACAGAAGGATGAACTTATTGAACTGCTTGATAAATACATATATTTGCATACACATACTAAACGTAAAGATTCTCTGCTGTGCATAAATGGTATTTAGTATCAGGAGCTAGCAACAAGTCACACAACCTTCCTACAATTTATTTGCCCTTTAAATCAGGCTTTCTTATCTAGCACAAAACTGTACACAGCTGTATTCAAGATCTATCCGTCTGCACAGGCTCTGGTCCTATGATGGCCCTACCCAATCTAGCTGGTATTACTTTACTATGTTTTTTGGTCAGGTTAGATTTTTGTTGGCTTAGCAACAAACCAGCTCAGCAGAGAATCTAGCAAGTGCCAGAGCTAGCTGGGACAGAATCACTGCCTTAAGCACCTCTGCCCAGTTTTTGGAAAACTTAGCCCCTTCACTAATTACTGAGATTTATGTAGTTTATCAAATTCCCTACTAAAATCTTTAGGATGGAGGAAAGAGGGAGCAGAAAGTTTGACCTACCCACTCCGGTGGAATCTTACAGGTACTCATTAAAAAAATAATAAAATTAAAAATTTTCACAGGCAAGCTACACTAAAGCAGGTGTGTTTGCATTGGTATTTACCCTGGTATTTTTCTAGCAAAGTTTTAAAGCCTTCACATGGCTTGGCTACCTAAAGCAGACTAGCCTGTTTCGGTTACCTAAGAATGAGTCTTAAATCATCTAAACAGAGTTTTAAAGGATAAAAGAAAGCACATAAATTTACAGCACCTAACTTCTTTTAAATGTAAAGCAATAACAAAATTCTCCAAACAGTTGTTTCCAATTACAAGTTGGCTATTTACTCTGTTTGGGATTTTCTTAAATCTTCCCAGATTGCAAAATATTTACCCAAACTTAAACATACAAGCAGAAGTAGACATTTTCGCAGTCACAACCCTAAAAGTTAAGCTTTTCAGTTATATCTACAACTCCAAATTTAGGAGCTGTAATTTCCCGTTCATGAAGCAGTGGTGGTTGGGTGCAGTCATGCAAGGAGGGGGAAAGGGATGGAGAGTATTTTCTGCTTCTGCTTAACACCGCAAGGTAAAAATCCCAGGGAAGATAAATCAGGACGAGCCCTTATCTAAACCTTGTTAACAGGAGTGAGAGTTAGGAACTGCCACAGCTTCACTAAAATTTATTACTTGGTTTTGTAAAGTAAAACATGTCTCTCTCCCTCAAAGACTAAGCAGTGGCAACAAGTTATGCTTATCTCAAAAGTCAAGGATCTTGATTATGTGTAAACACAGCAGATACTTCTTTTTTTAAAAAAAAAAAAAAAAGTCACAGTCAAAAGCTTACAGAAATTCCAACATTTGCAATTCTCCTATCTCCCCAGGTTGGGAATGGTCTGAACAAAACGTCTATTATCCTTGTATAAGAAAGGCCACACGGACAGGCTGCAATTGTATTCCTCCTTTCACTCATGATAACTGGTTGCCCCATTAAAGTCAGCTAACAGTTGCCAAGCTGATCTAAAAACCGGCATTAACTTAGTTCTGCATGCTCTGGTTGCAAAATCAAACATTAACTTTGGGGGATATTTTCTGTACGCATTAATTCCTAGCACGCATCTTTTAAAAATCAGGGAAGGAAAACCCCAGACCGTAGCACGCCTCAAAAGAGGTAGGGAGAAGCAAAGGTGCCTTCTCTGTAAACTGATCTTTTGCATGTATTCTTTTCAAACGAGAAAGTGGCCTTTCAAACCATGAGCTGACACAGCGCTAGATCCTCTGTATATCTTGCTTTCAGACCTACAAGCAGAGAGCAGAAAACACAACTGAAGTCACATTAATGTAATTTTATGGCACTTTATACCACAAAATTGTAGCTTTTTAAAAAAAAAAAAATAAAAGGCGACTAGGACTTTTTCCTCTTTCAGAAATTTTAACATCTGGAAAGCCCAATTAATACAATGGAATAACTGGAGAAAGGTGCCTGTATAGAGGTTATTAGCACTCAAGCTGACAAGCACTTGAACCTATTCATTCAAATATTATCAAGTACTTGATAATATTTTGATCACAGCTAAATAATATAAACACACTCTTATACTGTCATTTCTGCTTATAATATTCTAAATTGCCCAATTGAGAAGACTACATCTACTTTTAAAATTCAAGTCTGAGCATTTTCAAAGACTGCTTCCAGCCACTAGAACACCAAACTCCTCTACACTTTTATTTCCTACTTGTACTTATAATATTTGCTTTAAAAGGTAGAGTAAAACCCTCTACATGTGACATCAGTTTCTGTGGAAGTAAAGCAGTTACGATAAAAACCAAACCAACAGAAATGCTGAGTTTGGGAGGTATATTAAAATTGCAAACTCAGTAACAGTGCAAGGATGTAACCTTCATAGTTTAAACATTTCTCAGAACAGTTTCCATGACCATTGTAAAGTGTTAGCCATAGTTTACCTAAACTTGAAACATGTTCTTAGCCACCGTGTTTTATACCAACACTGAAATAAATCATTACAATTTAGAAAGGCCAAAAATTAAGTTCATTTAAGATTTTTTTTCAGCTGCACCAGCACTATAGTACTTGAATATTTCAGGATTACAGAACTGGGTTCTTACAGCTGTTTACTACAAAGAACAAACAAAAGACTATATTCAATTTAAAGTTTTATTAACACACATCTTAAATGCAAGTTATATGAATGCTTTCAACACCTGCTTATTTCTTAACTTCATAGTTAATGCTCAGATCAATCAAATAAACAAGTAAAGAAAAAGGTGGGCATGACTTGTACTTGACAGCTTACAGAGAAATCCTTAAGTGTTTTAAAAGGAATAGCCCAGTACTTGGGAGGAGAGTGGATGGAATAGACGACATAGTGGTAGTCATCTGTACCAAGGCTAGGAAGGTTTCAATATCACAGCTTCCTTCTGCGACATAAATTCAAGTTGCTGCCTAGCAGGGAGACAGTCAGAATGACAAACATTTATTTTTAAAAAACAAGTTCTCTGACATTTTCATATCCTCTTTTTCAAATTGTTCCTTTAGCTGTGGAGTTTTGTTCGCTAATTCTTTTCAATTTAATGCTCACTAATCATAATAGTGACAAAGCAGGCGACTAACCATTTCTTTTTCTCCCCATTTTGAGTCCT